GGCGGATGTAATCGCTTTGGCTTATTTTTTTATATCGGAACACTGATGTTTACATTCGTTTGTGACAATGGATGCCTCAGATGAACATTTTTCTTGCACAAAACCGCCTGGTTTGCCTAATAAAAGTTTATTGGATTGTACCTGGTCGGCTACCCAAGCCTCTGTCCGAGACGTAGACTTTACTTTAAGAGACTTGAGGCTGGCACCGACTTCCAAGCTTGCTAATTCGGCCGCAAGCTCCAATTCCTCAATGCGCCGTCGCTCGTTTTCCAACTGCACCTGGCGTTCGAACTGTTGCCGTGCGAATTTAGCCTCGGCCGTCGCCCGAAGGGCTCAAACTGTAGCTGACGACGACCTGGAAGCAACGCTGTGAGAAAAAGATTCTACTGGCTGCTGAGAGTTCGGGTTTATAGAACATGGTGCTAGGTTGGGCGCAGCTGCTGCTTCGATGGAAATCTTAGATTAAAACAAAAAGGGTAGATACGGTACGCTCTTACTTGCATCAAACAAAAACTGATCCCACTTTACTACATATGCAACACTCACACATCCACCTGTTTGTAAAGATACAATCGAACGAACGAAACAGCAATATAAGTTTCAACGGCAGCGCGAACGGGACGGCGAGATCCACGTCACTGCCCTACCGACCAATCACGCGACCAGTACTCGACGTCACTACAGAGTAGCGTCAGAGAAAAAAAATAAAAGTATTTTTTATTAAATATAAGTTTTTTATTAAAATTCAATAAAAAAAATCCACATTGAGCAATTTTTAATCTACTTTGAAAAGCTGAGGGAATGAAACAGTTTACAAGTATACCTACTAAAAGTAGGTTTTTTACATGATAACGTCAACATTTTTTTAAGGTATCTTATACTGCTGGATGTGGTCATTTTTATTGTATTCAATGTTTAAAAGAATCTAATCGAGATACAATTTTTACTAGAAACTTTTCACTTATTATATTTCAATACCAATCATAAACTGATTGTTCAATAAATAAAAAAAGAACTAAAATAATATTAAAAAAGTTAAAATCAGACACACAATATTATATCACCTGATAAAAAATCAGTTAACAAGCGTACCTACTAAAAGTAGGTTTTTTATACGATACCGTCAACAATTTTTTAAGATACCTTGTACTGCTGGATTGGAAATTTTCATCGCCTACAGTATTTAAAAGAATCTAATCCGAAACACTTATTATATTTCTCTTCTAAGCATGAATTTCTTGTTTTATAAATCTAATCTAAACTATAATTTTAATTATTCATTTAAATAATAAAAAAATATAAAGGTAAAATTAAATAACAAAAACAATAATCATCATCGATAAATAAAAATAAACATAAGTTATGCCTTGGGCTTTATAACAGAAGTAAGAATCTTACTAGGTACCAACCTACTGTGTGGCAATAGGGTTGATGACAAAACCTTTTTTTCTTCGTCGGCCAGGTAAATTAATAAAAGTATTGGACAAGTATTTATTTCTTATTCACATAATCAAAACATTACAGAGATATGTTGATATGAAATTTCCCATGACGTCACGTCTTGGTACAATTTTTACTTAGAAGTGACTTTACAAGCCTTCTCTCCCAAACTTTCACGCGCTCTATCCTTTTGGTATTAGTTTCCAAAACATAGAACCATTCTAAATCGAAAGAAGCTCCGGAATATCCGGGAGTGGACCGGTATTGCCTCCGTCGAACAGTTGTTCCGGCTGGCTGCTGATAGAACTACATACAGGAAGCTAACGGCCAACCTTCAGGATTGAAGAGGCACTGGAAGAAGAAGATTACAAAAACAATTTTAAACCCTACAAAGAATGAAAACGCCATTTCTGTAAGTACAGAGAATATTAAAGCTAAAATGTCTGAAAAAATAAATAAACCTCTTCGAAGAAACCAAAATGTAATGAGTTTAATAAATGCAGCATATTTTTCACCTACATAAATTAATATTTTTTTTGTTAACTCTACCCAATTTTTACTCTCGACTGACATTACAATGGCAAATATTCGCGCTTATGCTTTTTCTCCCTCATACAAACGTTTACAAGTGTTGTTGTCTTTTTTTAATAACAAATACCGAATAAGATTCAAAACAAACAGCATTTTTTATGAAAAAATATATTTTATAGTACTTACGAATGAAAAGTGATGCCGTCGGTTTTATTTTTAGTTCTTGAGCAATTTGAGCACTATTTAAAACAACACTTAGGCATTGTTTTATCATATAATCACAAAATTTTAGCAATATTTCTTTTTGACGTTCACATGTACGTCATTTGCATGTCAAGTTGTGACTAAAGCGATTGTGGCCTTGGGCCACAATTTATGCGGATCACTTTTGTGAGGCTAGTGCCGTATCTACCCTTTTTGTTTTAATCTAAGATGGAAATGTGGCACGAAGCCTGGTCGTGAGCTTCCGCGTTGGGCGCACTAACACCTAAACCAGAATTCTCAGTAGCGAGTGCCTCCGCATGAGCTGATTTCGCCCTGGTAATCATTATTTCCAGCGAGAAGGACCAATTTTGTAAACGAAAGAAATAAAACGGAAAATAATATAAATAAAATCAGCTCTTCGGTGACATAAATTGATAGAATGACATTTATTTTGTTTTAAAAAATATATTAACATCAACGAGTAATTGATAGTATAATTAGACCTCCTTTGTCGGTAACACGGCCTAAATTCACAAAGTCTTATTTTTGCTTCATTCACCCTTCATTATTTTTTGTTATACAATAGTTCTTGTAGTAAGGAAACGACCAAGCCATATATTTTGACTAAGGTGTAGTGTACTGACTTACTAAAAAGTTCCCATGGGATATGAGCTAACACAAACGTATTAGTAACTATTAATTCTATCTATCTGGTTAAATTTGTTTTGTATTTAGAATCCGGGCACTCCTTCTTATTGGAAATACAGCATTAAAAATCTACTGATAACTGGATTCAATAGGTTTCAGTCTAAAATAACGATTTATTTTAATAGTTTATTGGCTTCGTTATTATTTTATTTTTAAATAGGTGATTTTGTTAAGAAGTTGTGCCAAGATTGTTTACCTTAATAAATGCAATATAGGCGACCATAGGTATTATCAACATAAGAATAGAACTAGTTAACAATACTTATCACTAGTATTTATATTTTATTTACCAAAAGATTATTTCTCAAATTATGTAAAGTTAGTTTATACTCCTATCCCATATAATAACCGTTTATTTTTATGAAATTCATAGCCAGGTACATACCTAATTACCGATAGTAAAATAAAGATACAGGTAAATGGAAAGACTTTGAACATTTCATTTGAAAAGGAATCTATTATTACTACAGGTTACTTAGTGCAGTCATTGAAGCGAAAAATACGGTCTTACCTCCGAATTTTTTTACTGTGAACCGATTTGCATGAAATTTTGGAATTAGGCTCATCTTACCCTTAACTTCAAAAGTGAAAATGATCTGAACTCCGCCTATTATTTTTAAGGGGTGTAAACAACCACTTAATGGAAAAATTGGCATTGAGCCATTTTATCGCTAGAAAACATGTCTAATGTCGTAAGTATTTTCTAAAATTGTAAAGTATTTCTCACTCTAACATAATTACCTCATATTAAAATCATTTTCAACCCCTTGAAAATCTTACAACCCTTGCAAACAACCCCTAAATTGAAAAAATCACAAAAAAATACTTTGGTATGACATAAAAAGATGTAAGTATAGAATAAGTAATATTTTATATTATCTATAATAATTATCAAATTTTTAACCCCCTTAACTTAAACTTTTAAGGGTTGAAAACCCTTAAAAACTACCCCTTGATGAAAAAATTGTTAAAAATTTTTTTTTGATAAAATGAAAACAATTTAAATATTATTCCACACTCTCGAAAATGATGATCATATTCTTAAGCTTTTCTACCCTTAAAACTACCCCTAAATTAAAACAGTAAATATATATGATTACATATTTAAAAATAATTTAATTTAGAGTAAAATATTGCCATTTATTGAATAAAATATTTACAAATTATATAAAATTGTACTATTATTAAAATATAATATTATTATTCATGACTCAATGTCCGAGTCGCTGTCACATTCAACATCTTCTGGCTGAATTGGAGGGCTATTTTGGCAGTTATCTCCACTGCACGTTCCACAGGTACTATTACAAAACAGACCAACTTTTGTGCATCCGCAAGACGCTCCACATCCTTTTTTGCAGTTGCAAAAAATCATTTTCAGCAGTTCTTGTGGTGCGGGTGGATCTACAGACTTAAGTGGATTTAATAAACCGTCATTCATAACCCACCCCCAATCCGTTGGATGAATGTTTTTGTTGCCAAGCCAAATCTGGGTTTGAAGATAAACTCTCTTAGTATGCTCATTTATGGCACCAACGGTTGGAACTAAGGATGATAATTTTACGGTAGTGTTTTTCGTAGCAGCGCTATGAAAGTTTTCTCAAAGAAAACTTTCATAGCGCATCTTTTGGAGATATTCTGATAAGCTTTCTACTCTACTCAGCTTATTTTGTTGCGTATCTTTAGCAAGTCCATAAAAACATACCATGCAATATCTACCTGCCTCTAAAATATCTTCGAGTTCAGATGTATTATTCAAAAATATCTCTGCCTTACTTCTCAAATCTTGCCTTCGTTCCAAAAGATCCATAAATTTTTTTTTGCCTTTATTATATGCCGCCGAAGTTAAGTCACACCCAGTAAATGAATGTGCCAAAAGAATAAATTTCGAACTATTTGGGTATTTTAATTTCCAAACTTTTCGATGAATATATTAATTACTGTTTGCACTCTTTGTTTGCCTAATTTTAAAAATAAAATTTCTTCGCCTTCTGTACCCCGGGCAGTTAAAATCACTAAAATGTGTGATCTTCTGCAACAATTATTTTTGTCAAGTTAGTACTAAATGATACTGCTGTATCAACAATTAGTTCGTCAGCTTCACCCTCACCTTGCATTTAATAGCATTTAATAGATTTTTTTTCCAATTCTTCCATAAGAAATTTAATAAAACGTCTTTTGTTTTTATAATTCGATAAGAATTTATCTTGGCTAATATTGACTGGCATATCTTTGGCAAATTGGTATTCCTTTGAAGCAACTTTCAGTGCTCGACGATTTCTCTCTGATGCTCTATTACTTTCTCCATCATAACAATCAAAAACTACCGTAATATTATTGCCAAAATGTTTTTTTAAATATGAAATATAACTGTCAAAAACGTCTGCATAATTACAATTCGAAGGCCATTTTACTCTATATAATAACATTCCTCCATCAATAAAGTACACTAATGCTTCCTTGTTGATCACAATATCCTGGGTTTCGATTAATGAGTATAAGATAGATTTGTTTGTCTTTCGCATCCCAATATCGTCAAATAATGAAAGTGGATATGGTGCCAGTTCATATTTCAGGTACATCTCCAACTGTTCGTTACTCTTTTTCATGATACAAATACGTTGAAATAATAGTAGTGGATCTATAGGCACAATTTTATCGCCAATTTTGAATTTGCTATTGACACCAATTAATGAGATAACTTTATCTTTTTTGGATAATTTTATGTCATTAAAAGTCATGTCATCGATGCTCTTCATGGCTTCGATGCCAATCGCCAGAGCGTTGTAGCAATTTATCTCATCAGTGGCGATCAACCCTGTTACAATGTTTTGTAGGTGATCAATGTCTTCAAATGGATTGTGCTCCAACAAAAATGTTTTTAAAACCAACACGTCTTTCTTATCTTTTTTGATTCTCGCATCTCTCGCGTCAACATGTTGGTAGCTTTTATTAAATGCGATATCACAAAATTTCTCTAATGCTTCAATTACATCCTTCGTGTATATGATACCTTTAATCCATTTGCATACAGTGCTTTCCGTAGTGCCTCGTTTGAACGGTCCACCTTCTACGCTCATTGCTCTCATCAGTGTTTGTTCAATGGTTTGGTCGGAGAAAATACCAGCATAAAACTCATTGGACCTCCGGGAAGTAAGAAATCCTTCCTCGGTAAATTTTTTAAACTCACGTGGATCCATAATGAATTTCAAAAGTCTCATTTTTTGAAGATAAAGTCGAGCAGATTTTCCATAGTTGAAATGCCCAGCGGCGTGAAAAAAGGTATCATAAGCTCAATACAATTCAGATGCGCTTCCCAGTCACCCATTATTTCAGCTGCAAGATTTTTTTTAATTAAAGATACCATTTTATAGTATAATATCCACAGTTTGCATGTTTTTGACTCTGTTTTCAATTTCATCCAGTTTCGATTGAAATATTTCATTCAGTTTTTTTCAGTGCTCATTAGACTTTATTTTCCCAAAATTCATTTCGTAAGTAAAATACTCTTCATTATCAAGTAATTCTTAAAACTCAACATTGTTTCTCTTTTTAATTCATCAAATATTAGAAGCGATAATGCCTGCGGCAGAATAAAATGAGCTGGCACTGCACGAGCATACGAATGCCCATTTAGAATTTGATCAACTGATCCTTCTGCAAAGATGAGCGAAAATATTTCCTTAATTCCACTTCCTTCCATAATAGTGCCAATGCATCCCATAAAAGACATTAAGAGATGAAAACCTCCGAGTCGCACAACTATTAACACGTCATCGAAAACCAAAGTCTCGGCAATATCACAAGCCTTAATATATAAAGGCTGGTCAAATGTTACGATGCAGGTTTTCATGCCTTCTTTTGAAACAATTGCAGCAGCATTGTTTAAAGCTGTGAATAAAGTATTGTAATCCCTTGGGGTTCCATTAATAAATGGCAAGAAATTTATTTTAGACACTTTATAATTAGTGTTTTCAGCACATAGCATAAACATGAATCCATTCCAACCCAAAAAATCGAGATCTCTTGCATACTTGAAGTAACTCCATAAGACCTTTAGCACATCGATTATGGTTATTGTAAATTTCGGATCAGGACTAATTTTTTGAACTTTAATGGTACCCAAACCACTTCCTGTTTTTTTAGTATAAAATTGAATATCTATTCGGTTTTTATCCACCAATTCTGATTCAAGAGGAACTTCTGAACTACGCAAACGTTTAATGGGTTTTCTTGCTTGTAAACATTCTGCAGGAGTAATTATTTCAATCGATCCTAAATTGTGAAAAGTTCCTCGTCCATCTATTGTGCAAACATTAAAATCACTATTATCTGAAACGATTTGAAGGAATGGTTCTTTTAGAAGTCTCTCGTCTTGGCATGCAGCTGAAATTTCGTACAATTGAACTTCAGCATAGCTGCACGAAAAATCAAGATTATAACATAATTCAATCATCTTTTTCGAACCAAATTTTCTGTAGACCGTAGCACCTGTAGCAAGTTGAAGTGGAGAAATAAAACTTTTAGGTCGAGCGGAGGACATTATTGCATAGATGTAATTTTTTTTTAATACCAAAAAAAATTTTGTTCATTATGATGCTTATCTTTATAAATAATATGTTCTAAAAATCTGAGCAATTGAGGCGGAATGCTCTCGTTAACATTAATTAATATTTTATCACTTGGTGAATACTGATTGACATCGCATATGACGGTTCTATTTTTTCTACGTATGAGCTCGGCAGCAGAGTCAATGAGTGCATTTTCTTCCTCTTCGATACTTTTTGATTTTTGCTTTCGCCATGAGTCGGTCAATGTATCGTACAATGTAGTTGAAAAGCATACGTACGTTACACCACCTATTCTGCTAGAAATAACTATTTGATTCTAGAATTAACTCTCGTAAAAAGTTTATTTTCATTTTTTAATTTTAGTATGCAATCCTCGTGGTATTTGCCCTCTGTTAGAATTACATGATTTTCCGCACTGTGAATGCGCTTCACAATCTCTCGATGTTCGTCGTCTTTGAATATAATAAGCATTTTTGCTAAATTTTGTATAAAATCTAAAGACTGAACTTTCAAAGTTTTCTTTTTCATTGCAGACGCTTTTTTTAAGGTATTTATCTCACTATCGCAGATAAAACAATTTTTATCTCAGTCAAAAAGAGTAGCACTTACATCACTTGCTGAAACAACACTTGAACTTGTTCTTGATCTTCTCAATTTTTTCTTTTTTGGACTTACACTGTTTTTTACAGCAGCTCTTTTTGCACTTGCTGCAATATTTCCCTTGTGTACATAATTACTTCTGCACGTATGATGAACATTACACAGTTTTTGAATTATCCATATTTGAAAACAATTTATCACGTCTTTCTTTTGAAGCTGCTTTTAAACCTTCTTTACCCTTTGAAGTCACCAGCACAAGTCTTTCTGACGTATTTAAAAGGCAAATTTCACAGAATTTTTCTTCAGTATCATTGCTACTGCTTGTACTAGGTTTGTCCATGTTCATTTAAAATAAACTAGGGCAGAACTAATTAGTAATATATATTTATGTACCCTCTAATTAGTAATATATATTTATATACCTCTAAAAAATGTATTGAATTAAAATTTCCACTGTACATAATCTATCAGTTAATTTTATTATCGATTAATTTGGTGACAATTACCACAATTGACAATTGACACCTTAATATTTGAAAAAAGTATTTACATTAATACGAGAATAAGCTTAAAAGCCGACCAGGCTAGTCAATAAATAAATAAACAATTTACTTTATTTACAATATAAATTCAATTTAAATAAAACTAGTTTTTACGGGTTAATGCACGTAACTTTATTTATTTATTGACGTTTCGTAGTCTTTACGCACTAAAACTATACTAAAAAACTAGTTTTATTTAATGAGTGATGTGCGTGAAAACCTAAGAAACAAATAAATTCAATTTTATAAAATTACCTGATATAAGATGCAGACTAGATTAAGTGCTGCTATCGTGCTCTTTGAATAGTACGAACGTCAATACTAGTAGAATATATTTTCATTAGATTTTTGGATAATATAATTTTATGGCACAATTTTAATAAGATATTATTAAAAAAACAGGTTTTTTATCTACTTACATTTTTTTATTAAACAAAATGTATTGAAATTGGGTGTCTATTTAAAATATAATATTAAACACGTGCTCATTCCCTTGCAGACGGAAATATACTGGTCACATTATAAGGAATAAACGGAGCACGCACAGCTGATCACATGGCTTTTTCGTTGGCCCCTTCACTCAAATGTGTTATATATACATATAAGAACGTTGGTATGTATTCATGCCTACGTTTCCAAAATATATGAGCCATATTATGTATATATATACATTACAATAGTTGTGGGTCTCTATTATACTGCGTACTTTCACATTGCTCCAAATATTCACACTCCGAAATTTTCAGTTATTAAGTAGAAAAAGATATGATAAGTTTTTGGACCATTACTCCTTCAATTTTCATGCTATCACAATTTATAAAAAACCATTGTAAAGGTAATTAAGAGAACTACAACATCCTTTATTGCAATATATAGTAAAAAGCCTTTTTCTAAAACGGTGAAGGGTTAAAGGGCTTAAGAGAGGCTGTGATTGCGCTGCCACGCGCTCTTTAAACAATCATATCTCCGTCAATTTTTGTTTGACAGAAAAAACAAAAAAAGCAAATTGTTTGTCAGAAAAATACCTAAATTTTTAATCCGTAGACTTTTATACGTATCTGTCGTCATTTTTGAGAAATTATGAAAAAAATGTGGGTTTTTTTTAAATTTGAATTTTTTTTTTTAATCGTGACTTCTTTGAAAAATATGGGTCCTGAAGCAGCCAAAGTGATACTATCTATCAAACTCTTCATAATAAACTTATAGGAATACGATTAATTTTAATTTTGGTGGAAATGGCACTTATGAAACCCATTGATTTAAAAGAAAAAATATTAGATGCTCCCCTTATTTGCAATACAGCTCACTTATTTTACGTGCAAAAGACTTTTAATAGTGCTCATTTTAAAGCTTATTTCAAGCACTACAAAACCCTTTTGTATTAGAATGCATAAAATGCATCTGCTCGCCGCTTGATGGCATTGACCACATCGATTAAACTTCAGACAAAATAAAAAACGGCTTTGATCTTTAATATCTAGCTTAATATTGCACTTAGAATACTGTATAAAAAACCAATTTGTTCATTGTTTTACCTGCTACAATTTTGTTCTTGGTAAAATTTTCGATAAAACGTATATGTGGAGATATTTGCAAAAAACCGATGAAAAACGTGAAAAAATTACGAATTTTCAATTGCCAATAACTTGAAAAGTACCTATTGGATTTTTTGAAAAACTTTATAGATGATTTTTTGCTTTAAATTAGGCCTTCTATCGATATCTGAGATAATAATACACCCCCGAGAAGGGGTGGCAACCACCCCCAGGGTGATTGCAGAGTTCAAATCATTTTCACTTTTGAAGTTAAGGGTAAGATGAACCTAATTCCAAAATTGTATGCAATTCGGTACACAGTAAAAAAATTCGGACCTAAAATGCTTCAATGACTGCACTAACTGCCAACATTCATAAATCAATATGAATATACGCATTTATTATTCATATTATTAATTGCACTTTATGTTCATTTAATGCATATTATTTAAGTGCTTACATATAGGTAAACACTAAATCTATTCAGAATATATAAAGTGTACATCTTTTACGATCAAGTATAATTATTATAACCTCAAAATCATATACATTCTGTAGTAGGCCACGGTTCCTCAAGTTGTCCGTATCTCAACAAATGCCCAGTTAGAGTTTATGAATGATTCCGAACACAACTAGCATTTTCTCATTGCTGTGCGTTCTAGGGCGTTCAATGTTTAGGGAACGAGCAATGTCCTTTCAACTCGATACCTTTACTCGTACGCGTACCCGAGACAAACCGCCTTATTCCAAAACGCGGACGAAAGTTAGTCCTGGTTTAAAGCTAATTTTCTCTGTGTTTCTTATTTCAAATAAAACTGACAGCATCAATTTAAGTCCAGGTTTAACGTTAGTGTTAGTTTTTTAATACAGCGAAAAGGATCTCTACAGACAGACGAAAAATAACATGATCTTTTATGGGTTCAGTTTTTTACTTTAGAGGCAAACATATTATATTATAACTTTGGATACAAAGTTGATGATAAGGTGCCTTTGAATAATCATCTAGCAGAGTTGCTGAGTTGTTGGGCGGAAAGAATACATAGCTCAAAACGTAATTTAAACGTTAAGAAGAAAATAAAACAGTCATA